AGTTCAGCTCACAGAGCCCCCCCAAACAACTGCGTCTATAAATAGTGTAACTTGGCTGCCTTTTCTCACTCTGCTCTCTGTGGCTGCTGCTCTCCCCTGTAGCATGGCCTGCCACAGCAGCACACAGCCGTCCAGCAGCCATACAGCACGAAGCGCTGGTGGTCGACACCCCTGACTCACTGGATCACATCAGCCTCGGTTCTGCTCCAAGTTTGCTCAGACCTGCGGCCTATGAGAACTTAGCAAAGATGGGGCATTACGAGCCAAGGCTCTGTGTTAGACATATTTGTTTGAAAATGTTATTTGTCTATATCCAAATGTCATCTTCATCCTAGGACCAGGAATGTGATTATTTTTGTAGCATGTAATCCTCTAATATGATCAGCAAACACAGGAGTAATTGCTCCTGACGGAAATTTGTAATTTTAGAGGAGTTTTAAAATAGTAGGGGCAGCAAAATAATAATAATTTTACTGCATATTGAAAAACAGCTATGGTCTGTGAGAGAATATACCGTGATAAAAAAAGTATACAGTTTTAGGAATTCTTTTTATCATATTCTTGTCACTGGATGTTATAAAGTTGAATGAGGACCGCCTCTGAGAGGACTTAACTTTGGGGACATTTGGTGTGACACACATTTTGCAGCGAAGGATTGAGATTTCACAACACCTCAGACATGTTTGACTCTGCCTATAAGCTGTTATAAATGCAGATATGTGGTTTGCAGAGACAGCAAAGATGAATCTAGTGATAAGAGGCTTGTGTAGATCTTTTGCACAGAGCACCCAACCCATGGCGCAAATTTCTATCAGTGGACTAAACAGTATTCTCGTTTGAATCGCGAGGTATTTGCAGGAGTTAGTTTCCATGTTTTGTTTAAAAAATATTTGATTCAAGGTTCAGGTTCAATATTAAGTCCAATAAATATTTATTTAAATATAAACCAATACCATTAAAGGAAACGCTTTCTAAAACAGCATGAAGAGCTTTTTGTTTTTGACATATATTCAATAAAAAGTATTAGACTTGGTGTTGACGCAGACTGCTGATGACGGGCAGGGCCGATGACAGCAGATGTTCTGATTTGACACTCATCAAAGTGAGTTACAAACCCATCAATACAAAAAAAAAGTAGTCGGTGAAGACAGCATTTCAGAGCTGGTTAAAGGTCAGGGGTAATATTTCGGCAAACATTCAACTTTAAACAGGAGTGTATGTGTACCTGTAACTGTACATGGAAGCTGTGAGCTGTTGAGATATTTTATTTGACGGTGCAGTATGTTTGATTATATCCTCTGAAGAACAGCAGGATAGATTCCAACACTTATTTCCCTACAGGAGCGTTTAGGAACGTTTTATCGTATAGTTAATGTATTTGATGTGATTTTTCAAAAGAGCCGGAAACTTGAAGCTGATTTGGAGTATAACACAAGTAGCGACTCCAGATCCAAAGTTAGTATCCTGCTCGAGTGCTGCTTGGAGTCAGACATGAGGAGACAGTTTATTAACTTTCTTGTTTGCCTGGACCACTAATTTTACACACCGTTTGTTCTGAATGTTGATTAAAATCGTCGGGGAGCCTATTGATTGCTTTTTATAATATATTTCACGTCACTTCTGGTTTGCAACGCTGAACACAGTGTCTGGCTGCTGTGCAGATCTCACTACAGCAAAGTGCCAATGAAGAGGCAGAAAAGCTTTAATTCAGGCTGCACTGCCTGTTTCCCACTAGAATCATGTTCCTGTGTTGCTTCCCATTAGTGGTGAAATAAAGTTAATACAGCGTTAGATTGTTCTGTTATTGTTTCCAGTTCAGATGGATTCAGAAATTGATTCCTCAACCTACAAGTTCACATTGACTTTATTAGGTGAAGTCAGTGGACATGACAACAGTACTAATCTCTGAATCGAGGTGTTTTAGCAGCACCCATTGCTAATAGGTTCATAAAATCAACAATGTGGCCATTAAGTCCTTAAAACACAAACATTAAGAAAACCAAGCAGGGCGAAAAAGAGCTCAGTGTCCTTCAACTTGGCAACTTCATAGGATTTCATTTTTTCTACAAGTTCCTTAAATTCCTACTTTTCAAAATCTGCCCCTGTCAACTGTAAGTGCTATTATTGTGAAGTGGGGCGCCTAGAAGCAAAAACAGCTTTGCCACAAAGTGGTAGCACAGACTAACACACAGAGTGCTGATGCACATAGCATGTCAAAATAGCCTATCAACTGTCGTATCGCATAGAGTTCTACACCGCCTCTGGAAGAGACATTAGCACGCAAGCTGTGAACCAAGAGCTTCATGAATTAAGTTTCCATGGACGAACTGCTGCACACAATCCTCACAATGCCAAGCATTAACTGGAGAAGTGTAAAGCTCTGCAACTGGACTCTGAAGCGATGTCACCTTTTTTTATGACAAGGACAACCACTCTTCATTATCTGACAGCTTAAAGGATGATTCTGGGTCTGCCTGGTGCTAAAACAGACTAACTTTTAGAGTGCAAAAGGCTGACTTGAAGACCTGCAGTCAAGGCATAATGGTGTGTGTGTGTGTGTGTGTGTGTGTGTGTGTGTGTGTGTGTGTGTGTGTGTGTGTGTGTGTGTGTGTGTGTGTGTGTGTGTGTGTGTGTGTGTGTGTGTGTGTGTGTGTGTGTGTGTGTGTGTGTGTGTGTGTGTGTGTGTGTGTGTGTGTGTGTGTGTGTGTGTGTGTGTGTGTGTGTGTGTGTGTGTGTGTGTGTGTGGTGGGGTGGGGGGGGTGCAAAATACAATTAACCATTTAGACGCCTAACATTTTGTGCGACTAGTTCGGGAAAGGTTACAAATAGTACCCAAGCAGTTTTGGACTGGAATGTAAATCTCATAGGTAATCCAACTTTTGGTAATACATTGCATCAACCTTCACTCTCAACGACTTTTTAAGAAACAATAATGTTTGTATTTCCTTCAATAATGATTAAATGAAGACTGCCGTTGAAACGTTAAGTCTGAAATTCTCCTGGAAATCACAGCGCTCTCATAGGTGATGCCCTCACCTTTGACAACAGCGCCCTCTGCTGGAATTTCAATGCACATGAGGACAAAGACTTAATCTCAAATTCAGTTTCTTTCAGCAGGATAACATGCATTTTTTTTTTATTATTACTACATTATAAATAGTAACGAGATATTGAAAAATACTACTTCTGGCATGAATTTGTGTTAAATGCATGACGTGATCTAAAGCTTATTACACAAAAAGGCTGATAGTCAAAGATAGAATAGGAACATTCCTCAAAAGTTTTGCTCGCATGCTGTTTTGCAGACTCACATCATCAGACTGATCCAAGAGTGCACTGGATAAAATCAAGTGATATTCTGTAAAGAATGTATTTGATGTGTTCATCTTCTGCTTGCTGTGAAGCAGTGAGTGTTTCTCTCAATATGTGTGATGCTCTTTGGTCTAGACTTTATTAGAATTTCCACTCGGCTCTCCATGAGTTTTACCTTGAGGCTTGAAACGCTGAACTCTTGCAAAATGTATTAGCACTCATGACAACTTGACAAATAGCACAATTATCTGGTTCATCATGATGTTTATCATCATCCATCCTATGACTGCACAGTTATTTTTGGATTGACCTCTATATAGATAGATAGATAGATAGATAGATAGATAGATACTTTATTTATTTCTTCTATTGAGGGAAATTCAAAGCATCCAGTAGCAGGTAACAAAACAACATTGTTACAAATTAACCACAAAACCGACGTCCCCCTCCCATACATATATATTACCCGAAAAAAGATTTAAAGAATACGCCTATAAGAACTTCTAAATACAAAATATTGATTTCTTTCCAAATTAAATCAAATAGGTCTTCCCCTTTGTACTGATGTAATATAAATAGAAACCCTATGGCATATAAACCTACTTCATCATAACAAATTCAACTTTGTCAGATAAATATGAGAAAGTTGTAAAAAATGTCATGCAAGAATCATATGGGCATTTTATTCTAATATCTGCTGTATCCAAAAACTCTGCTAACATATATGTTAATTTTAAAAAAAAATGTTTGGCTTTCATTTTTATAACAGACAATCAGCAGTTAGAAATAAATTGAGATTCATATCAAATCATGCATTGCTTCGTCATTATTTCTCAAAATACTGCTTAACACCATAGATTTGCAATCAACAATACTTTATTAGTTTGTAAAATTACAACAGAGGTCTCTTGAAAGCACAGGCATATTTGAACCATCACAAACTACTAGGAATAGTACTACTACTCTTTTCACTAGAAAGTATCTCCTTTTATTTAGAACATTTCTATTTGCATTTGATTTTTATTTTTAAATATCACTGAAAGTCTTTATATTTAAATATATATTTATTGAAGTCTGCAAGGTTTTATGTTATTAAAAAAATAGTTTCTGGGAGCGCTGGTGGCGCAGTGGTTAGTGCACACGCCCCATGTGTGGAGGCTATAGTCTTCCAGGCGGGCGGCCCAGGTTCAAATCCAGCCTGTGGCTCCTTTCCCGCATGTCATTCCCCACTTTCTCTCTTCCTGATTTTATCCACTGTCCTATCTCTACATTAAAGGCACAAAAAGCCCAAAAATAAATGTTGTTTATGCAGGGCACTGATGGACTAGCGGTTAGGTCACACCCTCTGTACAGAGGCTATGAGTGTCATTCCCCACTCTATCGCCGATTTCCTACTCTGCTCATTGTCCTACAAAAATAAATCTTAAAATATGTTTATATATATTTGATGTGACTCAAAATGTGAATGATCCTTTTCACCATAGAATTTGGTAATTGTTTGACTTTAAATCCTAAAGGGAACAACACAGACTATTCAAGGACAAATTTTAAAAGGGATATCATTAAAATAAGGGTCAGAAGTTAAAGTGTTCTGTCTACATAGTTTCTGTGGTAAGGCAATTAAGAGAAAGCAAGAAATTGAAAAGCAGATTCCTAAGAAGAAACTATTGATAATTGCATTAAAACAAAAAAATCTCTTTCCTTCCCCTTGTGTTAAGAAGTGCTTTTGTATTATTTGTTCAGCCCAAAACGTTGATTGAATTAAATACTTTGTCCATTAATATCTTCCAAAATTCTCTTCAAATAAAAGCCGTCCTCTAGTAACACAGATGTACTGAAATGGTGAAATGTTTTTGTTCAATTCATGAACAGTATCTGTTCTAAAGAGCCATTCTTTTTCTTCCTGTGTATTTCTTTGGCTCTGTACACATCATCACTGCCCACCTCTTGTACAAATTAAAGGTGTGTTTGCTGGCTCAAGTGACTCATCATCAGGTTTCAGCAGCCCGACTGCCTGTAGACAGTCCCACGCTGTCACGCTGTCACTCTGTCCCTCCTCCTCCGCAGAGTCCTCAGAGCTGTTAACCACTGCAGCACTGAGACTGTGGAGCTCTTCTAAAACAGACAGGAGCCTCGCTGACAAGAAGCAGACAAACCGTCGTTAAGATCGATGTGGCATTTTTGGGGGACTTGAAAATAAGAGTCTTATGCATGAAGCGTCAAGACACTACCTACCATCTGTATTTATGTCTGAAGGTTGTTCCCTTGGTGCTTGAGACTTTTGTACAGCTGTTGTCTGTGCTCTTGTATACTCAGACGTACTCTCTCTCTCAGCAACAGAGACCTGGATCAGGTTATGTGTTGTAATCATGAGGACAGAAACAACATTTTTCTCACAGTTTTCTTTTGCTTTGCGAAGTCTTACCAGCAGCAGGTTTTTGTCTTTCATGGTCTCCTTGGGTTGTTTAATCTGGACTTTATTTTTTATATGTTCAAACTCATAGTGGTGGCTTTTTCTCATCTCATCCTGTTTCTTTCCTGCCACTTTTTCAAACTGACGCAAAGTCATAACTGCAAGAAACAACACAGTCGGATGGAAGACCACAGGGAAATGCAGCCATATACAGAGTAAACAATCATATTAGATCAGAGATATGACTCCACCCCCCTGCTTTAAGCTACTGTGGGCTGAGACAGCATGCTACTAATCCTGCTACCTGCTTTGGTGTGCTCTCTTCTGGCAGTATTGACCTGCTCCTCCATCTCTCTCAGCTTCTCAGCACAGTGGTCCTTGATCTCAGACACTCTCTCCTGCAGCACTGAAAAGGAAAAAACAAATGCATGATTCTTCAGGGCAGTAGCGCACACAATGAGAAGCACATGCTAATGCTGTTTCTGTACCCAGGGCATAGACCGGATTTTATTGCATCTGTGAGCAAAAGTTCACATTTAATCGTTTTGATTCGTGTCATTTACATCAAACCCATGTGACCAGATTGTAAAACAGTAAAGCTAGAGGAATACAGTTAGGACCTGGCATTTCAAGAATACAAAATCAAACAATGAAGATGAAATGTTTGAAAGCAGAACTAATCAATACTATACAAGCATAACAATACTTAAACATTATATATGGCAGCAGTTTTCTGTAACCCATGAAAAGCTGAAAAACAATTTCATTCTTAACATCTAACACCAAATAGAACGCACACACAGTGAGCAAATATCTGTTTTAAAAAAGAGCAGCGCTATCTGCTGCAGCTTAAGAATCAGATATTTCCCTCAGGAATCAGTGTAACATCAAATAGAGCTCAAGAGGAGTATGAGTATTGAACACACTGCAGAATGTTAATAGTACTCTGTAACTGAAAGGAGTCCAAATATAATTAAATCACATTTTTTTTTTATTAAAAATGAAGGAACTTTTTACGGATCATTTTTGTGTAGTGATTCAGTGCTGTGTATTCTTAACTTTTTTGAAATGCCCCCATGAAGCCAAACAATTAGTTAAGGGTAGTAGTTCAAAATGTGTACAAACACAATAGTGAGGTGCCAATATGATCAATGAAAAACATTTTGTTTGCTTCAATTATTCCTCCCACTGGCAAATTAAAGAGCAACTCCAGTTTAAAGTACATAAACTGTATGTGCCTAATAACGGTTTTTAAACAGTCATGAGAAAATGTGCTGTTATACCATTAATGTGGATTTAAAAGTAAGATATTTCCTAAATGGCCAAACTGGGAATATCATATTAGTATCGGTAACTGTCCCTGAACCAGTACAGTCAAGGTGCTCTTGAGTGTGTCACTTAATCCCCCACTGCTCCAGCAAAGCTGTGGAGCAGGCAGGAGGTGGTCAGGTGTGAAATGTGTAGGGCATTTCTGGAAAAGAGCGGGGGTGCTCAGCCAGCTTTCCCTGGATAAGTCAAGGTTGAAAAACAGTCATGCCACAGCTGCTGCCTCACCACGTTCGCTGTGCTCCTGCTGGTTGAGGAACTCAAAGCGCAGTTTCTCCAGGTTGATTTCACTCTCCTTCAGCTGGGTCTGGATCTCCTGCAAGTTCTCTTCAGCCTCCTGTCTACCTGCCACAGCCTGACGGACCTCCATCCAGCTCTGCTCCAGCTCCTGCTGCTGCTGATGCACTTTGCCTTCATCTGAGGAGGATGTTAAAA